TCAGCAGCCAGTTCTTCTGACATCTGGATCTCCAGACCACAGGCAATTATCATTCAACCACCCTCTAAGATAGGCGATTAACGGCCCTCCCTTACCTATGATAGGTGATTATTAAGCATCTCAGCGAGGAGCAGCACGTGTCCTGAAGTGACTCTTGGAAACGTGAGATCAGTGCAGAGGCAGCACTTCTATAAGCCTCCCAGCCTAATAGCCTTGGGCTTCAGAGACCTCCGAGCCACAGCGAACGGGATTCATGGAGACATGAAGAAATTACGGGATAAATTGATCAAATCAGGAGAAGAACACAGTGTACCAGCTCAAATTAAAATATGCTACTTGGCCCTACATGGATGTAAAGCAGTTTGCCTGAGTGGTAGAACAGATGAACCCATGCGGGGTCAACAGATACCAGCAACACATTAGGGCACACAACGTTTATCCTGCATACAGCATGGATGACATAAACTCTCATTTTGGCAAAAAATCCTATGGCTTACTGTTAGAATCCAAGTGTGTCTACGTTTAGGTTTAAACCTGGATCACAACAAGGATGGGAACATGTTACTAGGGCCCTACACTTTAAACCTGGAATATATTGGAACATATAAGATTCATTAGTTGCTGCACTATCCAGCTACATCTTGCTTTGCCTTTGAATGCAGCCTTAAATTCATATGTCAAACCTTTATTTATCCACGACCTAACAACTCTTAAAGGAATAGTGCAAGAAGATGGTTAGCTTAGCTTAGCATAAAGACAGGAAGCAGAGTGGTAAAAATCTGCCAACCAGCAACTCTAAAGCTCACACATTTATAACTCGTTTGTTTAATCCGTACAAAAAACCCAAGTGTAAAAACATCAAGTTGCAGTTGAAAAAGAGGTCATGTGCCAGACTATTTTTGGGCCTGGAGCAATGATTATGTGGAACGAATCTAACCGTCTCCTGGCTTCATATTTAATGAGCAGATATGAAAGTGGTATCAATCTTCTTCTCCAAATCTTGGCAAGAAAGCAAATAAGTGTATTTCCCTAAAAGTCCAAGTATTCTTTTACCACAGCAACACTTATCAAGGCTGCTGCTGGCACGAAATACTCTCAAATAATTAAATATGACTCAAGAAGAGTTACAGTATTTTTTTTCAACATTAACTAAGGAATCAGCATGATGAGGACGATGTGCTTTGGATCCATTTGGCTGCGTAGGGTCGTGTAAATCATAAACCTAAAACAGATTTTAGAATAAATTAAATGAGTGAAAACATTGACTGCGCACAATTTTTATCACTAACTTCAAGGGTTTTGCTATATTGTGCAAAACAATTCTCCTATGTGTCTCCTCGAGTTCTTCTCAGTTTTGATTAAAAAAATCAAATATTAAAGGTGCCCTGGGGAGTTTCCTTGTAAACAAACAAATGTTAAGTTTACATTCAGTGTTACTCAATTAAACACGTTGAGGTTTTGTTTGAGGGGTAACAGACATGTTGAGTGTATTTACTTCCTCATAAAACATTTGTAATGCTAAAAATGAGTTTTACCATTACAGTTCTAACAATGACTCTGAAAACATGTTTTATTATAATTAGATGTTCCCCACTGTGACTGTAACAAATTAAATGTTGCTAATGTTTTAAAAATTGCTGAAATCATCTCCAAACTGCTGACATAACGTATCCACCGCCTACCAGCTCAACTAATGAGAGGTTACGTAACGTAACGTATGTGGTATCCGGAGTTCCCGCTCTTTTAACCAAATCATTTTCCAGGATATTTTCCAGGAATTCTTTTCTATAGCACTTCCTTAAAAAAGGTCATATGAGCTGCGGTTTCAGGCAAATTGAAAATATTAATTTGGCCACAGCCCACAACTAACAGTTCAAATCAAGTAGAATTTATTTTGTTTTACAGAAAATTCATGTTCTAGAAAGATAAAGTACCATTAACACCACTGTGCATGTATTTATCAGCAACAGCAACTAGAAATGTGAACACTAATAGACCATATGCATGTAGATGAGAAAATATCACAACAAGTCAGTTCCATTCTGCATCTGGTCAACCTGGTTTGAAGTCTCATAGAGTTTCTCCTACAGACAGTTTCAAACAAACTACGCACCCAGGTTAATGCAGGGGATCCAAGTGAGGGGCTAAAATACAAACATTTTCAGGACAACATCAATTATTTACAGGATATTTGGTCATTTTTATCAATTTCCAGGTGCTTCCACGACAGTCCCAGGACCCTGTTTATGATTACAGGTTTGGGTACAAGAGCACAGTCGTACCTATACTGGTATCGATGCATCCCTAATTTTTCGCATCCAAAGCAGGAACCTACTTGTTAAAAACTCTATACCGTTTCAGAGGTCAGAAACTCCACAGGGAACCTTTAAGAGACGCCAACAGACAAACTGACCTCTGAAGATCGACAGCAGTCAGTTTGTTTAGCCACCTTGAGAGGCTGATATCACCGAATGAGACAGTTGATTTGACGTCTGGTTAACAAGCAGAGTTCCTCCTGTCGAAACTCTGAGAGACGACGGTCAATACAGAGCTGCAGTGATCTTGATTGGCAGTTTACTTCACACAGGAAGCAAGGTGACTACACTGAGCCTCCATTCACACAAACTCACACTAAACAAAGCAGACCTTCACGGTCAAGCAGATTCATATGACGACCTACACCATTCAGGGTCATGGGGGATTGAACCTGCGACTGTTTTAGTTACAGGAACCTTTTTATCTACTTGTCCACTCTGCTGAATAACATCACAGTTATGCTATTCCTGGAAGTGAATTAGTCTTATTTCAGCTAAAAGCCATGCAATGTAATACGCACTGAAGGTATTAACTTAAGAGGATAGAGTGGGGCTAAGGAGAGAGAGTCATCAGTTTAAAATAAATAAATAAAAACACACAAAAACACCCCCCACCAACTCCCATATTAATTACAGCTTCTCCACAGGCTGACAGCTGCTGACCCACAGCAGGTATTCGTCAAGTGAGATTTAAACCCAAAACTCCTGAAATAGCATTTCTGTCATTACATCATAGTAAAAAATGTGCACTTAGTTTGGTTCTTAAAAGGAAATTATATCCAGGAATATTTATCAGATTTCAACATGATGTCAAAAAGCTCAGATTACATCTCCAGAAACAGTCACAAAAAAGGCAAAAAATGATCTTCTTTTTCCAGTGAGGTTCTGGCTACAGTTTTACCGCTAAAGAAGAAGATCGCATGTGGCTGCAAGCTTATCAGCATCAACGAAACAAACAACGGCTGCACACCAACTCCAAACCACAAATTAATATATAAATGGACGATGTCTTTTGATCCTGGTTGGATCTTTGTTAGGTCAGAAATGTTTTAAAAGTAGATTAAAAACAGACAGTTGTTTATACTGCTGCCAAAAGAGCCCTCACATTTGTTTTTTAATGTGAACCAGTCAAAACCCATTAAATCCCACATTTAAAAATGAACGTGTGATTTGTGGCTAAGTAACCGGTGCCTCATATCAAACATAATTAATTCAACTTTTATGCAATAAGCTAGAGCGATTATTCTCATTATTTATTAACCAACTTGTTATTTTCTTATTCTATTCTATATAACTGACTAATTGTTTGGCCTGTAAAACCAGGGAAAATTGTGAAAAATGCCAGATGACATCTTCATACAGCTGTTTCTGTCTCACCAAGTCCAAAAACCCAAAGAAATTACATTTTCTGTCCTAAAATGACAAGAAAACAAGCAAGTCTTCCGATTTGTGAAGCTGTAACAAGAATACCTCTCACATTTTTGCTTTTTAACTTACTTAAAATAATTAATCAATTATCAAAATAGCTGCTGCGGATTAATTTTCTGTCAATTGACTACTCAGTTAATTGTTTCAGCTCCAGTATGAGCTGCTGGAGCTCTGTGAAGACACAATGAGTGATCATTTTAGTTGATAATGTGGCCTTAATTCAGGAGTTTGTTACTGTTCTTTCTGACATGCAGGTCACGTTTGATTTTATTTAGATTAACATCTGTTATAAAGTACATCGACACAATTTAACAATGCAAATAAAGACTGATGAAGAAAAAGATAGTAAGTGGACCATTTTAAGAATTAACTTCCATGCTTAACTTTTTACTCCAACACAGGCAGAACTCCTAAAAGTTGAGAAAGTTAACCAGCAACTGATCCGATAATCCAATAATCTCTTTATAAACTATTTCTAATATTCCAAACTTTTAATAATTCCAACTAATTTCCTACTTTTCTCTATTTTGTTCCACTGCAGAATGAATATCTTTGGGGTTTGGAGCATTTGTCTGATAAAACAAGTATTTTTAAGACGTCACCTTGAGCTCTG